TCGTCAACCTGTTATACCCAATGCTCCTCTTTTTCCCGGCTGTTTTTCACTTGTTTATAGATGTTTTAGAAAGATTAATTAAATCTGATTTATAATATTCGCGATGTTCTTTCTTATATGAAAGCAAATAGAAAACTCGAGATACGTCCATATTAACAAATTCATACAGATATAAATCATACGTACAAAGGAAAGAGATGCCGAGTAGAATATTAAAAAAATGTTTACGGTTGCGATCTTGTAAAATCTGCGATTTGATGTTTTCATAAATGAAAAATTGTCACGATTGTCGTTGTCTCGAGTGAACAAGATTTTAATTTATAATTTAGAACCGCATAATTAACGGGGAATACACTGCTGTTCTCCCACATTTAAATTTAAAATGAAAGCAAGTATATCTGTGGGAAACAACTCGAAAATACACCCATTTTAATCGACCACCCGATACGATACGAGGTAAAAACGTATGGGTTCAATCGTGTAAAAGATCCATCGGAAAATTCCCATAAAAATTACACGATCGTTGCTTCGAGTGCTTAGCGACACGTGACTAATTTCGTGGCTTATGCACCGATGGCTATCGGTTGGGATCGTGTACTTTTGGTTACGCTGAAACGTATGCGGCGTAACTACATTTCGATAATATTTGTTTAACGTGTTTTCTCCCAATTTAAAAATAATATTCGTCACACGGTGAATCCGATATTATGATAATGAAAGTAACGTTGTTACTCTCTAAAATAACGAAATGGCTCAATCGAGCGAATTTTCGATATGATCAAAGGATGGACGCGTTTTAGCAGCGACGCTTTCAAAGATTAAACAGACGTTTAATGGAGGTTAATGGATTAAAAATAGTTTACTTTTAATATTTATTTAAAATGAATAAAACATACAGCTGATTTTCGTTTGGTTAAACGTAGACTTTTATATACAGTTGCCAAAAGTTTTCTTTCAGTTCGCTTCTTCATCGTCACGTCGCAACGGAAGCGTTTAATGATCGCTCGAAAATATATAACGCATAACTTTCGGGCGTAAAAACGTAGCGGCGCGTGTCAGAGGATCGATAAGAAATATCATGTCTAAACTTATTACTGTTGACGACACACGCTCGGCTGATCCGCGATATTGAAACCTATCTCGAAAATCCTGGCGCCACGATTAATCACCGAGGCCGCGATCGGCGGCGTTGACCCTTTTCTGTACGCTTCATGCCGCGTTTATCATCGTACTTTTCGCATGGCCGCACATTTTTCATCGCTCACGCGCATCCAGCCGAATCAACCGGCGGGCTCGCTCACTGGAATAACACAAGGACGCGAATAATACGAGCCGGGAATAATTCCGGGATAAATCAGCCCGCCTTTCGTCCTTTAATATTCTCCCCGGTGCTGTCCGATAATACAAAATCGCGGCATAATTTCAGTATAAATCGAGGGCGCGGGTGGGCGCGCGGGGAGGCGGGAAACAGCCTCGCCCCTTTAAAAGCCACGGGCGTTTCCTTCCTGGTGTCGGACGATAGGATTCCCTCGTGTTATACGACTTCCTTTTCATCGACAGCAACAATGGCGGTGGTACGCGTCGCCTCTCGTCTCTCCAGAATCGAAGTTTGCTCTCGGTACACAGAAACACGCGTGTACGCCCCGCTCACACGTGCGCCCTCGCATACCCGCGTGCACGGAGCACGTGGAAAATACAGAAGAAGGTTGACGGATCGCAATTCACGCGACCTCTCGTGCTCATGGGCGTCGCAGAGGAGCCTCTTGACTGTTTCGGATCACGGAGGATCAAGCCCGCGTGTAAAATTTAACGGAGAAACTTGCAGCTAGCCTTAGGAATGTAAACTACCTGATAAACTCATTAGCAGCACGCCGAAGTAGTTGGTGTACCTCGCGAAATCGTTTTAATGAGAAAGTAAGGAAATTCATTGGGCCGCAAATGCAACATGCATGTCGAAAGTTGATATTGCCGGTGGTTGTCTCTTTAATTGATATAAATATAAGTGGAAAAGTTTCTAAGCTGTTCTCTCCCCTGGGAAAAGTTTCCTCGTGCTCCACTCTCGGAAAAATCATGTCGACGCCCATGATTCTCTTCTCTCTGGATTCGAGAAGGGCGCGCGAGAGAGGAGCAGACGCCTCTTAGGCAAACATTTTTACGCTATTACGAGAATCCGAGACTGGATATTAAGCAAACGCTTACAGCTGCAGGAAATCACTCGAGTCTCACCCTACGCAATTCTGTCGCTCTTTCTTCCTCTCTCGAGCGTTACCAAACTTGGAGGAGAATCGAAATCCGCGATTCATTTCGCGAATTTTCATCCAAAAACATGTAACGCCGCAGACGTGGCAGACAATTCGAAGCGATGTAGCGCGGATTAAATTTCTTCAACGAAAATTGGCACATTTTCGATTGAAAAGGAAAAAGAATGAACTTTATATCGCTGCTCTTGTCATCACCGTTTTGTATCGAGTGCGATAATGTTATCGTACGAAAATGTGTTATTTTTTCTGTAATTCAATCTTCATTGCACTTTAGCTTATACGCCAAGAAGTGGGACTTGGCTTACAATTTTGTCCTTATCACTCGCTCACTCTCATTCATCCCTCCATGCCTGCTTCGCTGCCTACTCTAATATAAACCTACTCTTCTCCTATCCTTTTTAACTTATCCTAGTTCCGTTCTTATTCTACTTCTCCAGCCAACTTTGTCGTCTTTGCCCTTTTCTTATTCCTTCCTCCATTTACCGCCATTCGCCTCTTGGTACTTGTTCTTCTCCTCCCCTCTCGCCGACCACATTTTTTCTATTGAATACTGATACATCTGATATACCACCATTTAAAACAATATATAATTATTTTTACGGTTTATTTCAATCGACTGACACTTTCTGCTTCAATTTTACTTTTGCCCAGCCATAACTCTCGTGTGTCATAAAATTTATTTGCGGCGCACCACAAATCAATCTAGATTTGTTTAGAGATATCGGGGCCGTTTCTCTCTACCGGGAGAGAGTTCGGAGAACAATTTCGAGAGACGTGAGCGCGTTTAGCCCGGACGCAGTTGATTTATCGTGGGAGAAAAGGGCGGCGCGCAGTGAAAGAAAAGGGTGGCTTTTCGACGAGAGAACGAGGCACTTCTGTCAATTACTACCCGTCGCGTAGGTAGAACGGTGAAAACACGCTTTATCCCTGGCAGCTCGTACGCGACGGATAGATGTCACGTCATCGCCACCCTCGAGAAGCGATTACGAGGCAAACGGCGTCCCGTCTCGAAACCACCCCTCGACAGCGCGTCCTCGATTCAACCGCGTCGTCATTAAGTTACCGTCAATTAGAACGAATGCCCGGGCGAAACGCGTTCAGTATGAAAAAGCTCGCGTGCCTGCCAAAGAAAATCGGAAATGCCACTCGTCATTTGTCTGCCCTCGCGAGGCTGCTGTACTCGCGAGGGAAGGTTTGCCGAAAGGAATCATCGTGAAATAAAGTATCGCTGTTATACGCGTGGAATTCGCCCGGTACAAAAAGTATTATCGAATTAATTATTCGATCGAGACAAATTCCACATTGGCCGTTCGCGCTTGCTGGTACGCAGACAAGTTGCTTAGCGCGCTAACCGTAATTAAATTACAGTAATAGATTCTGTTAAGGATATACAGCTCAGAGCCATAATTCCCGCACGATCTTTTCCCATCGTGGCGTCAACGGCTGTGAATAATTACTCGCGTGATACGTACGCAATCCTTGAATCAAAATAAATCGCCCACCGTAAACTGAGCCACTTTCTGTAATTAAAGGGAAAGGCTCGAGTGTGTGCGACACGCGGAATGATCTAAGAGCTGTTCGAGAGCCTTGATATAGCCGGGCGCATATACACGCGGTATCTTACGTGTATGGATATTCCACGGGGAGTGTCGTGACACGCGTGCACGGTCCATTCGTCTCGTCCACGATGTCCGCGTGTACGCGGTTCAGGGTGGGGGAGAAAAAATAAATATTCAGCGAGGGAGCGAGGAGAAAAAGGGAAGGACAGAGACAGAGAGAGGTACGCGGGATCTCGGGTATGCCGTGGGGGTACGATAGGCAGGTGTCACGCCACCGCGACCCCCCGGCGCGACGATTACGACGATTACCGGTGAGCCGGCGGTGCGCTCGCGGGAGGGTGGAGTCACCTTTCCGTTGACACCGCATCACGAAGCACTAACCAGGTTATTTATGCCACCTCGTAAAACTTGTGGCGTGCCTGAGCACACTAGTCGCCGCCACCCCCGTCCCACCCTCCCCCGTCGCACGGGGACCAATCTTGAATGACAGAACGGGGGTGGTGCAGTCGTGCCTTCCAGGATCGCGGACTGCCTGCCGCGGTCTTGGCTCGACTCGAGTTCTCCAAAGTCGCGAGATAGGCGGCGGTAAATACGGAATAGACCGACGCGCGTAGGATTTAATGTAAAATATCGCATGCCGGCCGATACGGCGGCGATATATATTCATATATCTATAACGTTAATATGCGCAATCGTATGCGGCGACCGCGAGAAGGGACCGCGAGTCTGGCATTTTCATGAGTTATGGACGCCGCGCGCTATTTTTATTACGTGCCAGCATATCGTCCGGCGGACGATAACCGGAATACTTTCCCCAGTACGAAATATCGGCTCGCCAGGAGAGAGAGCTGGTACCGAAGCACGAGTGTAAATAAAGTTTAGAGAGTTCGCCTATGCAAAGAATTATCTGCGAAGTGACTTATGACAATTTTGCAACGCGCGACATAAGATCCTTGTCTGTCGAATGATCGAAGATGTTTAAAGGCCGAATCAGACTGGCAAGGGTCGACTCGGATTGAGTTGGAATTGGCGATTGACGATTGTTCTTTAGCCAATGAGAGCAAAGCAGCCAGCGATTTAGTCGGCTCTCATGGGCTAGAAAAGTCAATCCCAATCCAATCCGAGTCAGCGAAGCAATTACTAGTCTGATTTGGCCTTACGACAAATCTTTTCTTTCCAGTTACCATATTCAATGGAACTGGACTACGAGGTGGTGGGCGTACCAGGTGCACAATCTTCTGTGATGGCATTGCTGCAGCCGAGGGTAAACGTGTCCGCCAGGGGCGAGGTACCGGTCACCCTGCAGGTCTTCAGGATCAGATTGCCGTGCTCGGGTGTCGTCAGCGCCGAAATTCCACTGGCGCTTAGATTGAATGTCACGGCGCCGACCGGTACGAGGTACAACGACACCGTCTTGGTCTTCAAGAGGAACAAGATCTGCTTGAAAGGTACGTACACGCCAGGGTGTAACCGGTTATCTCGGCGGCGGCACCTCGCGCGCGTGACGATTGTGCGTGCCCCTTGCGAGAAATCGCTATGCTAATTTTGAAAAATGTCGACAAGGCTAATCGCGCTTTATTATTCGCGCACATGAGAACTGGCGGGGCGCCCCTTTTTCATTATTCTCGCGCATGGAACTTAGCGCGGTCTGAAATCCTGCGATTCTCATGGCAGCCGCGCATTAACCGACAACTAGATCCGGATCCTAGATTTCATTTCTTTTTTCTGTTGAAGAAACGTGCGGCGTTTCCTTCTTCTTCCTCTTGTTTTATTCAGAATCTATGAAGAAATCATGACGACTCGCGCTGTTTGTTTCACTTAAAATATGAAAATGCTAAAGTGTGAATTATTTAACTCTTCCGTTTAGTGGCGTTTTACCGGCGTAATTAAAATTGTAATTCCTCTTCAATTCTGAATAATGTTTATTCAATTCTCTCTCTCTCTCTTGCCTTTTTACATTTACATTTATTTCATAAACATAACCTCTCCCCCTTAATTAATTAATTTTGTTATGATACAATATGCAAAATTGTATAAATTAAGTAAGTTTTTAAATAATTGATGAACATTAATTAATAGTTACAATATCACGTTGGTTTGTGGATTTCTGCGCCTTGTTAGTTTCAATGGCGATATTGATCTACGGTGCATTATACATATATATGAAGATCCATTTCAAAGGGTATTACTATTTAAACTTTGTATGTTTGCTAATGTATATAACATATGCTACTCGCTTGTGCGTGTCCCGCGATGCGAGCGGTTCGCGCTGAAACGCGCTTTTGTTTATCTATACTCACTTTAACGCCATCGCCAGTCTGTTGACAATTATTTCGTTTACGTAATCTCGAATTTAATTAGCACGTTCGCGTACCCGGCTGAATATCTTCGTTACGGGGAGACAGTTTCGACGCGGTCGCGATTAAAACAGAAACGTGCATTCATTTCGCGTCACGCGCAAACTCAATTTATCCACGCGATTTATGAACTCTGCTCTGGACTGATAACTTTGACGCCGTGATGTTAAACGTTTATAAAGCGCTGAAAGGCATAACAATAACAGTTTTTGGAATGCAAAATAAAGCAGCCGCGAGTTAATCACGTTGATATGGCGGAATGTTATCGAGAAACGAAGCTCGAATTCTGTTGCGATTAATACAATGTTAAATATACGAAAAAAAATTTTTATTAACCCCAACCGTAGAGTAACCGTGGTATTGCAATTTCACAGAATTAATCTTTTTTTTCATAGCAAACGGCAATTGGTGGATTCTCCCGGGTTCTTTCCTAAATAAACGCCGTCATATTATAAATGCAGAGTACGGTCGCTTTAATAATTATGTTTAAATAATGAAATTATATATATATATACACATGTATGTTCAGTTTACGTTATGCGGGAGAAATGGAAATAACGGACCAGGGCGAGGGTACAAACGTAATTTCCGCGCCACTTCCGACAAGGGTGCTCGTAAGCTTGTACTCATGGTACTTCACAGGCGGGGGTTCTCTCGACTCCGCAAACCTCATACGACCTCGAAAACGTATGTTTTCTAAAAAAACAGGCTACGCAGCAGCGATGAATGCAATCTGGCAAATAGCCCCGATTTTCGTTTCTCTCGCGACATAATAGCTTGCCAATATTCCACACGGATTTTGTGTAACGAAAGCGAATTTTGTATGAAGCTTGCGGTAAATAAAAGTTGCGCGCGAACTAAATCAGAGCCGACGTAGTCGCCATATTATTTTTCCACTTTTATTTCTTTTTAAATGAGGAGAAAATTAATATTGATTTCCGATAAAAGAAGAGCTAAATTTCATTCGATAAAAGAGACGAAAGGATTTTTCAATATAATAGAAAATAATGTTTTGTATTTTGTCCTCCAAGACGTAAATCGTATTGTTAAATATGAAATAACAAACTAAATAGATTTTTAAATGAATTATGTTGCCCTATTATTTAATATCTTACTATTTTCTTTTATCTTACAACGTCATGTTGCACACTCACGCTTGATATTGTACATATTAATTATATGCTACGCACAATTATCTAAAAACTTGGCAAACTTTGTTTTAAACCACTGCACATCAAACAAGTGTAGCTGAATATTGCTAGTGTCGGGAAGTATGCGCGTTTAAATGATAGAAAACGATCCGACGGCAGAGAATGGCGACGACAGAGAGAAAGAGATGAAAAGAAGAAGAAAAGAAACAGAGAAGAGAGAGAGAGAGAGAAAAAGAAGCGCAGATCCGGATCCGGTTACCGAAGCAGGCGACGGTACAACAAAAAGCAATCCGCCGAGTAAAATTGAATCTCGCCGGGGGTCGGTGTATTTAATGAAAGAGAAGAGAAGGCAGAGAATCCCACCCTCGCCGAAGATCAAGAGGGTCGGCCGCGTAGAAAAACGAAGTAGGTGGACAGAGGTACGCAGAAAGGCAGGAAGAAGGATGAAAATAAGTAAGCGTCTCCGCGGTGAGGACCTTAGTCGCGTCTTGAAGAGCAGATTTCCTGCTTTGTCGAATTTGCTTCTTCCTCGTTCGCTCCCACATCGCCAAAGTACAAGCGGGGCTCTGACGAGTCCTTCGGCGATCGTTTCGAGCTCGAGAGGTCCTACTGCAATCTGAAAGCGCCTCGAGATCACTCGAAAATAATCGAATTCCCTATATGGGCTCCCTATATTCGACGTTCGCCTAGAATTCCATATATTGGAAATCTGCTGTCAAATTGAAAATAAAGGACCCAGTGATCTACACCGATTCTTAATCCTCAATCTCTACTTTAATATCCGCGCGCGCGCGCGCGCACACACACATGCGCAAATGTAACTTGAGCTTTCGATATTTTCAATGCGCCGAGAGCACGTATTAGCTATTTTGTTTCCACGTATTGAAACGGCGATGTATATTGTTTCCGCGTTCTATATTTTTCCAGATTTTTATGTTGTTTTCAAATATTCAAATTATTTTACATCTCAAATATGCTCGAAAAATGTTGACGTTTTGAATTATCGAGTATTTTTGCAAGTTTTGCAAGCATGCGTGCGTACTACGTGAAAAGTATCGAAAAAAAAAATATTTGGGACGGAAGTGACGCTAGTAAAAATTTTATTTGACGTGATCCTGAATTTCAAATATTAAATTCAACATGCGCGTACGAGATTTTCTTTTCTAGACTGATCTCGATATGGAAGTTTTTTTTACTCCGCCGAATAATAAAAATAAGTATATCAGAGCGCAGTGCACAAAAGACGTAATTCCGTGATTTACGTAAGCCTCTCAGCATGACCAAATTTGTTTCTAAAGTCCACAGAGCTCGCGGCGAATGAGGGAACGCGATTCGTGGAGGGTCATCCTGTTAATCCTCCGGAGACTTAATTCCGGGCCTCCGTAAATCTCGGTTAAGGTCTGTTTGATGGTAGCAGATAGCATAGCTCGCCCGGATTTAATTGAGATACGCAGTCGCTCTTAACACGCCTTCCTGACTCCGTAGTCGCTCTTAAGTCTCGAAGTTTTGGAAGCGCGCATCGTTCGTGCTAACTTACGTCGATAGGTACTCCACTGTTGTTTGAGTGCTGTGAGCAACACGAGATCGAATTTCCACGTAACGATAGCTTCGAAGTATTGAAAGACGATGTTGCGCACTACTTGATTTTTAAATGATATTGTATCGGATTAACTTGTAGAAAAATCGTAATACAGGCGATCACAGTGGACACAACAATGCACTACGGGTTGCAAAGTAAAGCATCGCGTGTTGAAGGAAATGTAGTAATATTGCGAGAAGCATCAAAGAAATAAATATCGAGCGAAATCTGACGCAGTTGTACAATCCTAGAAATTGTAGAAATCTCTCAAAGATACTTGTTTGTATTTCGGACGCGTCGTAGCGTGTGAGAGGAACATTTTAGGATGATGGAAGGACTCGGCGCAAAGGAACGATGCGAGTTTTGCCCCTGAGAAACTGCAGCGCAGCGCCGAAGACTGCTACGATTTATTTAACTTTTTCTTCCTGCTGCTTCCTGCGCACGTCTCATCGCGCTCGAGCAAACTCTTTCTCGTCTTGCTCGTCTTCGTAACTCGTGTTCGCGATGCTCTACTTCGGCTATCACGCAACCTGCTTGGTTTACGTTATCTTGGCAAAGGCAAGAAGCCTGTTTCCTTCCTTTATGAAACGAGGAAATGAGCGAGGGGAAAAAGGAAGTTAAACATCATGGTTTATTACAGCCAATAACGTATTTATTAGAAAACTGCGTTTATAAGCTTTACGAAAACGTAAAAAAGCAATGCAATAAGATAAATTAAATTTAAATTGAAAAGAATATTTATCGCATTCGAAGGTCCACGTATCAATCGCTTTTACGAAACTGCGGTTAATTAAAAAGCATAGGAATCTAAAAAATGAAAACATGAAGTATGCAAAGATTTATGAGACATTTCACAAGAAAAATTAGAATGTTGTACAAAGAGATAAAATCTCTCAGAATACTCGGACTATTGCACAATAATTTAGCATAAAAATGCATTACAAATTGAATCCTGGACTGTTAACTTTCTTAGTTTTCTTCTTGACAGAAAAGAGAATTTCGTGATGACTGTATTATGTCAAGCCTTAATCTCCGAGGTGGATTTTTTCACGCCGCAAGCAATGCACTGCTATTTTTAATACACTACGACTTGCAGCTTAACGAACATTTCAGAGAGTACGACGTAGTATTTTTTTTCTATTTCCGCAAGCAACGTTGATGTTACTTACTCGGATGAGATTGCTCTGCAACAAAAAGCCTCGGCTTTCAAATAAATATGGAGGGGAAAAAAGCATTCTTGTGCGTGTCGCGCTATTAGATTTCAACGAGAAAACTTTAGCTTTAATTATCGGAAGGTTGCGACTGGAAAGAATTAACGTTTCCCGAAATATATGAATATGCTTTCCACACGTAAAACTTGTCTTGTAGCAGGGGAAAGAAGACGAGAGTTATAACAAATCTTAAGTAAAGGCTTGCAATAAAAATTTCCGTTAAATTAACAGAGGAAAGTAGTTGGGAATTTGCATAGAGAAATATGACAATCCCGTAATATCTTAGATATAAGAAGAATTACTCGCGAGCGCTAGACGAGGAGAGAAACAGAATGTGATAATGGCAATCTTGCTGATATACACGTGAGAAGGTAAGTTAGCGGAGAATGAAGAGTTGTTTTGGATTTCCGACGAGTAATGCCGATGAAGGAATGCATTTAGGGATTATACGACGCTATAATCTCGGGGACGAGTTAAGAGTTGATGGAGTTTACTTAATTTTATCATGACGCTCCGAAAGGATGCGTCCCTTTCCTCAGCATATCCTAGTCGGGGCTGACGTGCTCGGTTCTTGAAAGCTTTTGAGCCCTCGCGCTAAAGTTCCTCCGTCTAGGCCACGTTATTTACCTTTATAAGAGACGACAAGGCGCCGCCGTTCGACCCGAGTCTTTTCTTCTCGCAACGCGCACGAGAGGATAGAGAGAAAAGAAATATCAGAAAGCGAGGTACCGGCGGGAAAATGTAAACGCGTGACGCAGCGAAAGAAAAGTCTCGACAAACTCGTCCTTTCAGACTTTCCCGCGAGAAACGAGGGAAACGCCAACTGAGTTTGACTAATTCGTTGAGATTTCTTACGAGACGTGTATTTTAATAAAGTAACATTTTCACGAAAACAGCGTCGCGATGTAAATTCGTAATGTCCCGATAATAATGTGCAAGTACTACAACAGTCTAATAAAATCAAAAACTCTTGTATACAAAGTTTCACAAAACATGGTTAAATAGAAAAATGTATACTTCAAAGGGCTAAGAGAGATTTCAAATACATTGAATACCGCTTGCAGTGTAAGTAAGCAACGGCCACGTAACTAAGAATAATGCTGTAGCGGCGAGACCGTTGGTACATGTAGCTCGAGATGAAGAAGGCGCGTGAGAAATGCGTCGCTACGCGAGGTAAAAGTAAATTGAACGAAATCGCGATAGCGGCTGCACTTGCCGGAAAATTCGTGGTTTGCGGGCAACGATTCGCCATCAAAGTGAGATCTCTTTGAGCACTTTCCATGGCTCGTCGATATTCCCGCCCGTTCGATAGCACTGTGATACGTATAAACAATAGCTCGATCCGTGTCCAAGGGCTTCCCGATAGATTCGGATCTCGAGCACGTGGTTTGAGTGGAAATGCTCCAATTGACAAAATGGATTGCCGATACTATAATGGCGGTCATACAAGCTTTGCAGATCGAATACGGATATAAAAACGTAACCGTCGAATGAAATGTGAAGAGGGTGGCGCGAATTTCGTATCAATTTTTTTTAAATTTAAAATCAAATAAAATTAAAATCAAATTAAACTGCGCATTGTTTATGTCATACATATTGTTTATCGCGCGCTCTGGAAGACTCGCATCGAAGCTCGAGGGACACGCTTCAGTTGACGTTGAACGCGCTGGAAAATTTATTTTGGGAAAAAATGTGATTTCGTTTTATTAAATTGATTCGATCGTCAATTTATATGCGACAATTGAAATTGAACGAATGCGCTTCGTCTGCTTGCGCTTGATAAGAAGATATAAAATACACGTGGAAATTTGAAGCACTTATGAACTGGCTTGTGTTTGCAGGTGTCGAGACACCCCCGAGCAACGATTCGGTGCGTTTGGAGCCCGATCCGCTGATGAATGGTGCTGGCGCGCTCTACGTCGCCGCTACCTGTGCTTGCGCCTTAATTTTGGTCGTCGGCAGTGTCGCTAGCGCGTTATACATCCGCAACAGCAAGGCTCGCGTTCAGGAATCTCAGTGAGTAAACTTTTATATCAATGGCTATTACATTTAACAAGAATATAGCAGAACACTGCGTATATTTAATATTGTTGCACCTTTATCCATCATTGTTCCCGTATATAAATTTTTCTAAAAATAAGGAAGATTAAGAACGAGACGTGAGCAAACGGCTTGCCAGAGTAAGTCCTACAAATTCCTCATCTTAATCTTTGCTTCGCGTTTGAGTTAACAAAGCGCGCATTATTAAAAATGCGATGGTAAAACAAGTAACGAGATAGTAATAAATTCACAAAAACACGTTACCGGTGGAACGCGGTTTTTTCGAGCTGCGTTCGCGGCGGAAAGAAAGCGACACGGTGGAATAACGCGGACGCCATCCGATTTCTCGTTTTGCCGCTTATTAAATTCGCGTTTCTAAGGATCGCGCTCGGTCGCACACAAAAATAAATTGTCGGGGAAAGGATTTTCATTACGTAAGACATCGTCGCGTAAGACGCGTCGTAAATGCGGCTTTTCCGCCGCGCTCTCATTTTCGGCGAGCCATTCGAGCGAAAAGTATCGCGGGCGCGAGTTTCACGACGTCGCGAATTTTCTGCCGAATACGAGAGACGTACGCTGCTACTGCAAAACCGGTCGAGGGGCGGCGAAGGGGGAGCGACGGAAAGATTTCCGCACCCCCGCGGGAAATTCGCGTGGATAAGCTGGATAGGAGGAGCTCGTCCGAATGAAATATCCTTTCAATAAGCCGCCGGTGATCCGTCGGCTGCTTGGCACGCCAGCCGACATTTTATTGCATAGCTATGCGCACTCCCTTTCTCGTATCCGGGGACTTCTGCGGGAGAGAATGTAAGGAGGATGTTAGGGGTCGAGAAGATCCGCTTTTACCTCTCTTCCCATATTCGTGTTCTCCTTTTTGCTCGTCTTTACCACGTGCACAACTTGTGTCTAGCGTGGACTCAATTGCAACATTTTCTCAAATTGACGTTCGACTTTCCTCGAGAACTACACTGTAAAAAAAAATATGTAAAATTACATACACACTTGAAAAATTTGTGTTGAATTTAATAGATATCACATGTCCCAAACGGTCCACACAAATTTTTGTGTTAATGTAAAATAATATGGATATGTTAAATGAACACACTAATGCTCTGTTAATATTTTAACACAAAATAAATGCAAATCTTAAAATAATTTAAAAGAAATTTCCTGTAAAATTAACATATTTTTAATGACAAAATAAATTTTTTAAATGTAATTTTTACATTTTACAGATGTAATAAGTCAAATGACGTTCGAAATCACTCTCACTTATGTTATATACAAGTAGAATAAAATCAACATTTTATTCTGTAAATTTTAACAGATAAATCTTGTTACTAATAATATAGAACATATGTATTGTGTAAGATTAAAAAATAAGTACGCATTCTGCTGTTTTAACATTTCTTTTCAGTTATTTTAATAATTTTACATTTGAGGTCAATTAACACAAGAGCAATATGTTTAATTTACACATAAATGTGTTAAACATTTAACACAAAGATTTTAACCGGCGCTTTTTAACAAAAAAAAACACAAATTTTCCAACTGTGTACATAATAAGTGTAGCGATTACACTATTAACAACGGAAATATATAAATGTACTTTACAAAAAAATTTTTTTACTCTTTGTTGTGTAAATACTTGTTTATACATGAAAAATTATAAAAAATTGTAAAAGTTACTTCAATCAAAAGCAAGCAGTTTACTTATTATTATAAGGTAATAATTTTACTTACAAGGAGTAAATTTGCTGACTTATGTAAATATGTATACACCTTTAATAGATGGTCATTACCCACTGTAATAATTGTATTTTTACATGTAACTTTTTTACAGTGTACGTTGATCATCGCGTTGCTCAATATTTATAAAAATCCGATATTTCTTAGTCGCCCTCCGTTTTCATTCCGTTCTTCATTTAAAGCACGAAAATGCAGTTTTTTTCTCGTTTAATTTTTACAGCACAAACTTACATTATGATAGAGAAGAATAACTTTTATATGTGTTTTTCTCGCGTTAAAGTACTTTAGATCACGTTTCTTTATCTTTTAATAGGATTGTCCCTCGTTTTCCCATCGATCGGTTGTCGATTGTCTTTGTCCGAATTCATCGCGCCCTCGGAAAATCCTCATCATGAATTTTTCTCGTTAAACGAGAAGAGGATCGCGTTTAACGCAATTACCCTCATTAACGGTGAATATTACGCGAAAACTTCTATGCGCTGCCTTTAAAGTTCGATCGTTACTTTCACTGTAATTATTTTATACTTTAGCACATCGAGTGTTCCATTCCAGTGCCTCTGTTTCAAGGTGCATAACCGAAGAACTTGAACGAGATAGAAACCATACTGCCAGGGATGTTAGGGTAGAAACAAAGCTACTCCTGCTTCACTTTACTGCCATTTCCTTCTCTTCCCCCATTGTTTGTCTCAAAGAGGGAGAATTGTCTTTTACCCGGATATTTATTAGCTCTTTTGATGTTCTCCGTTGCGAATTTTTCTCGTTAAATGATAAGGAGCGGGATTTGCTCTTCCTACAAACTTTGCAATTATTACACATTTACTTCATACACGAAATGCTTATTGCGGCCTTTGAAAATAATATCATTTAAAAAATGTGCTAATCACATCGTAACGAAAAATTTTTCGATATATGTACAGTACCGGCCCATAATATATCACCTTTCGATTTTTTTAACATAACTAATTTTAAAGTGCTCGAATGGAAAATTCGAAAATCAAGATGTACTTTGTCAAATTTCATTACAGGATTACAGGACACTTCGTGTACAGGATGTACATACCTGTTATCGGGTCTACTGTCTACTGTAAAATTTTGAGCACGTTCGGTGCACTTCGGCGAAAGTTATGCTCAGAAAACCGCAAGGTGATATACTTTTGGCCGGTACTGTATGTTAGGTGAAGCAGTGAAAGGTTTGTTATTATCTGTAACGAGTAGGTAATTAGTAATTTTTTAAAAATTGTGATATATACAAACATGCATAAACAATCGACAAAATTTTAATTACTTTTAAAGGAAGAAAGAATCTGTTTTTTTTCTCATTGCCTCAATCAATCTTTATATTGAATTTCGCGAAGACGCGATGCATGGGGAGATATATTACGTTAACCCCAGCGTTATTTTACGCGAGGTTGAAATATTACACGGCGATCTGTCGCGGAATTGAAATCAATATCCCACCGTCAATATGGCACTGACCGTAGCATACGAAAAAGAAAGCAACAGATGTTCGCTCGAACAAACAACGCGCAATTGGCCGGTGCGTGACGCGAATGCGATCGAACGCGATCGCCCGTAACAATGTGATTTCGCATCGGAAGACATCAAATATTTATCGCATGGCAAAGTGGCCTTTATAAGAAACCCAGAGGGGAGGAACGCACCCTCACTTTATATCATCTTCCGCTCTTCTTTACGCTCCTCCTGACATAGGCCAATTGTCTCTCCCGGGATATATTAGCTCTTTTGAGGCTCTCCATTCCCTGATAACACGCGGAGAAACGCCTGGATCTTTGCTATCCCCCCCCCCCCCCGATTTCTCTTTCTCTACCCCCAGTCTCGTCTTACGTCTCCACCGCGTTCGACGTACATCCCCGCCGGCGGATAAAACTGCAGATTTTACATCCGTACGCTCGAGTGAACACCCTCGTTTCTCGTAAGCCCTTCTTGCTGCATCGAACTGCACGATGTACGAAAGGCGCCTTCGAGATTCGGCAAGCAGCGGAAAGTTTTCTCAGGAGTTACGCCACTCGCGAAACTCGTGTCGAGACTTTGCTGCAGTCTTCCAACTTTTCGATTCCCTCCGATGAGATGTTTATTTTTGTATTTTGGTATTGACTCGATTGCTACGTAATTCTATAGACGCACGTTGGTTCTTGTTTTAATAATGAGAATGCATAAGGAGAGTATCGACTCGTTAATTAGCTATTGTTTAGGCCAAAATATTGTATACAGGTGGAAAAACCTATATGTAAAATCTAGAGATATCGAGGATATTCGTGCACTGCGTTATGTTTTCAGATTGCATTAAAAGTTAGCTTTCCTTCGAGCTGATGATATTGCGGCGGACACGTCGTCGGTTTCGCCATAAATTCTCAATCTATGGAAATTTCAACGCAAATACTTGCTCGCGAGTTACAAAAGTGATATTACTTTCCGAACGACACTTTAACGTTTCTGTTCCTGGCGAGGGCTCACTTTCGCAGGTACAGACGGATTCGTCGGAGTCGATCTGGTCGCGAAACGTTTCCGTAAGAGTCGCGTAAAAATAAACGGGCATGAACGGGCAAACCGGGGGATATTTGAAATCGATGGCTGTACGCGTTTTTCCATCGTTCGTCTTTTTAGCGAATACGTTCGGCGGCAGATTTACATGCACGAAATGGCCAATAAATCTCTAAAAATATCCTCTTCTATTTCTCGCTGGTATTTTTCAGTCGTCATTCCGTCTTTTTCCTTTTCGCTCCTTCCCTCTTACGTTTCTGGAAATATCGCCTTTATTTCAATATAACGACCTACTCCACAAATTTTCATTCTAACGAACGAATACTTTAATTTTAGGAAAGCAGCAAAAATTACTTCTATGTGTTTAGATAATTTTTATGTAAATTACTAAAACTTTCTCTCTCTCTTTTTCCCTTTCTGAATAAGGCTTTAGAAGGCTAATTATTGCTAATAGAGTATTTAAAATCTTCAGTCCATTGTTATTAATTAAAATTTATCCGTTTACATTGTAGCCATTGTACTTCTAAACAATATTAAACTGGCATCACAGAAATGAGGAACAGATAAGAACGGAAAGTCACAGTGAGTTGTAAAATTATATGAGTAACATAGAGAAGAGAAATATATTGGATTTAAATCAATCAATCGGAGACACGGGAACAGTACTTTGGGTTAAAATGAATTGCGTTTTCTATCGAAAGATCGTTGAGACGGTGCGAGAGAGAGAGAAAAAAAAAGAGAGAGAGGAAGAGAGGATCATTTAGAGCTTTTCGGGAGCTCATCCGAGACGGGATGTAAATCCTCCTAGAGATAAAGAGTGAGTACTCTCGAGGAACTTCTTGTCGAAGATAATTCCTCGTTGAGGGTTATGTAAAGGGCGCGGGATGGAGTGTACTGAAATATGATAATGCACTATTCTTCCCACTTATGCCCTTCTATCTTTTGCCGGGAGGAGTGTACATGTCGGACTTTATAAAGTGACCGTCTATCTCATAAACGATGTTGTAATTTGAACTGCGTTTATCTCGACATATTGCTGCCTGAGTAGCCTCCCGGGGGAAAAGCTTGCTAAAAGAGCCTATTACGCGGTGATCCCCAGGCGAAATTAAAGCAGTTAAATTAGCGGTTACGGTGTAGATTTTCTGATCCTATAACAATGTAGCCTTATAAATGTTTCCGAAATGTGTAATATGTAATATGCGGCGATGCATTACTCAGCAAAATCGTAGAAACGTTTTTAAAAACGTTACTTTAAATTCAGGTTCGCGAATATTGCAGTTTAATTATACTTTTAGAAAATTAAGCGAGAATCATAACTAATGTTTGAATCATGTGGGTACGTGGCATGTTTTTAAATTGCAGCTAGGTAATTCTCTAGCTATAACTGGACCTCGTGAAATCCGATAACTGTTTCTCCGACGGACGGCTGTAACGTAACGCATTAGAGAAAGTAATCTTTGCGATTTGAAAGAAAAATGGCATAATGTTCCATTTGCGCGCTGTGCGAAAGCGCACAAGATCACTGCTTGAATCCTGTCGACGTTGAAAATCGACAGCGGATTCCCGGATTTGCAGCAGGGACTTATACAGCGTGTTAAAATTTGTTCCAGCGAAATCGTCTCGCGGTGGAATCCGGAGCTCCGTGACAATTACTCAGGCTCTCCCGCTTTCCCGTCTCGCGCCATTGTAACGATAATTAACTCGGGTGTAACAATCGCTCCGCTACAGAGATCCTTTCGCCCTTTCAGGAAAACTCTGCCCTGCTGCAGTTACTCCGCGGCTGACACCGGTGGCCTGGCCAGGAGTTCCGTTTTAGTTAGAGTCGACCCACGGCCCGGAAGTGCGAATTCCGGAAGTTACGCCACCATCGCCGACCTCGAGCCACTGTACGCGAGGCCATGCGGTTCCAGAGCTAGTTACTATGCGGCGAGCCACGTGACGCATCTCAGCCAGGTATGCGATGATACAATTTGGTTAGATAGAAAAGCAATATCGTCGCATCGGTCCGAACCCATATAGTGCATACATAGTGTCGAGAAACCATCATTTTTATTTACATAAAATTATCATCCTGTGTCGTTTTCTTTTAATACTGCTCGACATTATTAAACGAATCAGAGTAACTTCAACTTTTAGCTTCAAAGGCGCATTTCTGAATTTCATTTCGAGCTAGTTCGTGTTTCATCAATATCGATACTCTGAATAAATTAAAAGAAGCGTTTTAACTTGCCAGAGTGTTGATCAAAATTTTCATTCTTACAATAATGGATAACAAATTATATGAGTGTGACTCGAGTAATTACCCGAATTTGTCGCCCATTGCAGTGTCTCCCTTTTCGATAAACGCGTATCCAAATTTCGCGACGCGATCTGTCGCTTCTTTTCGCACGTACTTGTGATTTTTCTAATCGCGACGAAACAGCCCGTGAAACAGATTCGACGACGGACGCGAAACTCGTATTGCGCATCAGGAAATCCGATTTTCTCCCGGCCGTTCCTTCCACTTCACTATCGCGAACTCCGCGTCTGCCACCGGAAGCGGAAGCAGCGCGAGACGGCTCCTCCTCTTGTCTCATCCCGCATCCCGTCCTATACCGTCTCGTCTCGTCTCGTATACACAACGAGTGCCGCGCCACGCAACTTTATCGAGTTTGCGGCCGAGCGAGCCGCTTTCCACGGGCAACTTTGGCGCCCAACCCTTTCCAGCCCTTCGGCTCTTTATTCAACGATTCTAAACCAGTCGACTTACAACTCTCATCCCTCCTCCCCGAGAGGGGGAAAAGGTGTACGCGTGTAGTGCCTTAGTCGCTTCTGCTTTCCGTCTTCTGGCCGATTTCTCGCGTTTCGAGCAAACGGAATATTTTTTTTGTTTCTCTGTCTCTCTTTCTCTTTCTTTTTGCTTGCTCTTGTCATTGCTTTGACACAACTGCTGATCGCGTCTTTGATCTTTTTTATATCTTTGAGTTCGCATTTGCCATGGGAAAACGAAATGTTCAGCGCATCGAGCGCTTCGTTGGATCCGTTTCTTTAAGAAATGCTGTATAATTCTTTCCGATAAAATCGGGAGGGTTCAACGTGGCGTGAGGTATACTATACTTACTGGGATATTACTTTGCGCTCGAGTTTACTAGCACTTGGTTAAACTAATTTCCCTTTTTCTATGAAAATTATATCTTTATATCTTGTGTCTTATATACCTAAGATATTATAAGAAGACTTTCATCATTATACATTCATCTTCCGGTTTTTCCGGAATTTATTATTTTTGTATTACTTTTTCAATATGTGTAAAATGATACTTTTTATTTAGGGAAAAAAGTCGAAACAGACGCGTAGACAACATCTTGATACTCAACTAAATTTTAACTAGGTCCTTTTAAGATATAATCAATTAGAAATCAATTAGAAACGTAAAAGCCATTTAGGACCTGGCACAGGTGGAGGTGGCCAATTAAATTACTAAGTGAATCCATATACCGTCTTAGACGCCCGTCACGGATTGAGGGAGGTCGCAGGTTCCAATTCTGGCTGAGGTAATACACTGAAAAAAATTTC